GGCAGCAGCATTTTTCAGCCCTCGACGGGTCCCAACGTGCTGTTCGTGCCACGCAGGCCAGTCCCGATGGGCTTGGGCGGGAACGCATTTTTGGCGCGTTTACAGGCCGTCGGAGCCATTAACAAAGCCAACCTAACAAGGACCCCTGTTTAAGATGCCCTTGAATATCTTAAACCTAATCCTTATACATAAATCCCAAAGCCCTAAGACGCAAACCTTAACCCTAGGCCCAAATCCTTTTTTTCACCCTTGTGAAGGTGTCCCCGAGATAACAGCTCGGCGGGCCAGCTCACAATTTGCTTGCTGCCTCTTCGGCTGGATGGTCTGCCTTGTTGCCAGTGCCTGGGAGAACCTTGGGTTTGGGCAAAAGGTTGGTGGTTCCAGGTTTAGACTGTGTTTCAGGATTGTTGGTTTAGGGCTTCGAGTATTATAGGCTTCATGCTCATGCGTCAGGGTTTAGGGTTCAGGGTTTCAGTTTTAGGGCTCATGGTTTATTGGGTTCCAGGGCTTTGGCCCTAGGATTAGGGGCTTCTGCACGATTCCAGTATTTTGGTGCATTCTAGGGAGATCTATAATAGAGACCTTACAAGAGACATTGATTGTCACAAGCTCCTTGTTTTTGGGGCTGGGTAACCAAGCCGCTGTTGTCAGCGTTCAGGGGGAGTCCATCAGATTTGTTTAAAACATCTTGCTGGATAATTAACGGGATGTTTGGGGTTGATTTGGGTTTCGGGCTTTGAAAACTTGACAAGTTCGGGAAAGAAAACTGAACATTAATTCTCTGGACTCTCTGGGCATTGAGAGGTTTGGCATTTTGGGTTTGCAAAGAGATTTCTTTCTGGACAGAGCTGCAAGTCTGCTGTGGCAGCCATGGTCAAGAGAGACTCAGGAACCATCAGGACTTTCTCGTTCGGCGAGATCTGCTGATGATGGCACAGACCATTATGGTGATCATCTATCCAAACATGACAGTGGCTAGCTGCTTTGCTGTCTGTGGATGTGCTGGCTACGTTTGGACTACATGGCAGGTTGGGGGGTGCTACAATAAGTGGGAAGGACCTTCTCAAGCTTATGGGACCCCATCTACCCTAAACTACACAGCCCTAAAGTCTTTACCTCTCCATCCAAAAGCCTCAATCCGAAACCTTGAACCCTAAACCCCGAAATCCTGCAATCCCCAGCCCCAACCCGAAGGCCTAAACCCACAACCCAGATGTCAGGTATTCGGCTCAGAAGCTTTGACCTTGTGGTTTTGCATCAACCAGGTCTATCAAGCCCTTAGGTGGCAATCCAGGATTGTAGCGTTTAAGGTTTATCACTAATCTTGGAACTCATAGACCTTGACGTGTAATTTCAGAAAGTGCCTATGGCGGGGGAACTGTGCTTCAGAAAGCGGTTATGTGGAGATGCCCATTAGTGCGGCTTGAACGCTCGAGCCTCCGCCTCAGACCCTAAATTCCAAACAGACGCTAAACCCTAAACCTTATACCTCAAGCCCCAGACTTTGAACCCCAAATTCTAGACCCCAAACCCTAAACCCTAAACCCCCTAAACATTAAGCCCAGGTTGTGATCGTTATCCTCTTCCCCGCCTTCACTCAGATGAAGCCCTCACTGGTTTCAGGGTTTCCCTTTCAGGGAACGGGACAGCAAGTGGGAAACAAGGTTCTGTCAGTGGTCAATGGACAAGAACTTATAGAAGCTACTTCAAATTATACGGCTCTGGGAGGCCAAACAGTTTGGGGTTCAGGGTCTGGAGTGGGTTTAGGCTTTAGGGTTTAGGGCAGCTTAGTACTTGATACAGAGAAGTGTATTTTTTTTCCGGCAAGCCCAGCCCCAAACCCGCCCTAAATCCTAAGCCTTAAACCTTTCATCCTAAACCCTATAGTTTGCCTAGGAATCCTTAAATCCTAAATCCTTAAACCTTTCATCCTAGACCCTGTAGTTTGCTTAGGAATCACAAAGAATGCATCCTGTCGAGCTTCAATTCGCAGGATGCAGACTCGCTAGTGTCCCTGGCTTGCCATGGTTGGGGGTGCCTTGGGGTTTAGGGCTCAGGGTTTGGGGTTCAGTCATTTGGGCTTGGGGTTTAGGGCTTAGGATTTTGGGCTCAGGGCTTGGGGCTTGGGATTTAGGGCGTAGGGTTTTGGGCTTGGCCTTGGGGTTTCGGGCTTAGGGTTTGGGGTTCGGAAGTTATGGTTCAGGCTGTCGCCTCACGTGACTTCGCAGCTAGCTTGCTGATTGGTGAGACCTGAGGCTCTGAATGGCTTGTAGGGGTTATAGGTATAGTATAGTTCAACTTACTGAAACCCCTTGCCCCTCCGAGCATCGCTTAGACCTTAGCCCTGAGACACCAAATCTGAAAATGAAAAGAAAGAACATTCAGCCATCAGCCCGGGCCACGCTTCAACCTGGTGATGACGGCATCTTCCCCCATTTTTTGGGGGCTTCCAAGCCATGATTAGGTCGAGGGTTCTGAGCCTTAAGCCCCAAACCGTAGCTGCAACCCTAAACCTTAACACCATGCACCCTATACCCTGAACACTGACCCCCAAAGCCCCAAACCCTAAATCTTCTACCCTACCTACAATCCGAAGTATAGGCGTTAAAGCCACACTGAAGCCAGCGGAGGTGGGCTTTCCGGCAGGTGCTGAAAGGAGTATGCGATGGTGACCTGCTGCCTGCTTGATTCTTAGACTTCTGAGGTTTGTGGTTGATGGCTTACATCTTAGGGTTTACAAAGGGCTCAGGGTTTAAGGAATGTGCTCTTTAGAGTGTAGGATTAGGTGTTGATAGGGCGCTTCTCAAAACAGGGGCATCTCTAAATATACATATATATATATGCATATATAGAGATAGGTGTATATATATATATAGAGCGTTTGCAAAGGGATTATTGGACCCTTGCAAGGATTACATAGGAGAACGTCTCAGAAACTCACACTTCAGGAGTTTCAGATCGGGTTTTTAGGGCTTTGACCCTTGAGAGCTTGACAAAGATGCCTTTCAGTGCCCGAGCTTCGGGGGGATAGTAGCTTTATGAAGGAATGCATGGCTCTATGGGAGATTAAATCGGGCTTGGAAGCGTTCGAACTTCAACTGTGTGGCTCCGGGATACATAGGCAATAGCAGCGGAATAGTGTTCCTGTATAATGTGCATGCTCCTTTTAAAAGACTCTCATCTGTCGCTTGGGGTTTGTTGTCTTCAGGTGATACTTTCTATTCTTCCCCCTAAGATTCAACTGTGTCCCACCCCCGCGCCCCTAATACTAGATAATCCGGGGTCCCCATAGTATTTGATATCAGGGGGGTTGCAGGGTTGCAGAATTAGACAGGGTTGCCTTTAAAATCCTTTCAACCTACATGGAAGCAGAAGAGTTGATCAAGTAGATCAGCTATTTAGAAATCATTAGAGAGTAAATTATTCAACAGCTATTCAATTACTCACTCAGTTACGTATTTATTCACCTTATTAACCATTGCACCCCCCAATTCATCATGTTAGAAAGTAGTCTTCCCTTTCAAAAGGAATCTTCAGGAAATTTAGGGCCCTGAGCTTATTCTTTAACATTCTGGGGGCTTTAGTATTCTGAGGAAGGGATTAGAAATTTGGGTCCGCCTGTGTCTTTGAAGGTAAGCTCTAAACCCTGAACTGCTAAGGTTACTTGACGATGAGTTGAAGATCTGTGGAGGCTCCAGTTGCCTAAAGCGCATGCTGGAGACACCAGAAGCCTGACTTCTATTGTAGTATGAGGTATAGCTGCTATAGCTGAAGATTGTGTAGGTATCGTTTAAGCGGTATCCACTTCTGCCCTCCCCCTCACGCACTGGTAAGGAGGACAAAAAGGGCCAGGCTTTTGTGGACCTAATCGTCACGGACGAGAAAGCAATAAAAAGCTTTGACGAGTTTGTGCGAGACTCTTCAAAAGCTGCTCAACATGAAGGTAGTGCGCCTCAATGCCTGCGCGTAGCCCTCAGGGGATCGAGACGCCTGGTGAGTGCTGACGTGTTTCACGTCGCGCTTCCCAAGACGCTGGGCGTATCGTCTGGGCGGCATTTGCTGGCAATCGCGGAAGATGCAGACTCTCGAAGTCTCATGGATGCTGAGAAGGTGGGTCGTCAAAACTGCGATCCTTCTCTGTGTGCCAAAAGTATCTGGCCCCTAAAATGATTGGCACTACTTCTATTATTACTATCATTACCTAGTTATTGTTATTATTGAAAGGGCCATAATGATGAGAAATTCCCATTGAGGATTCTATCCCCAGCAGCCTTCTGAGCAGTCGATCTTCCTTGACCGGGCCGACTGCCCCACAGTCCTCTCCGCCATCTGTGACATCCATGGTTGCTGGTTCCTTTTGGGGAGAATTCAAAGTTTGCTGGGCTTGGTGTTTATTGTTTTTGTCCTGCAGTGTTGTTTGTTCCTTATTATTGACTGCTGTTGGTGGTTGTTTTTGGATTTGGAACTTATGCTAATAATGAGCATTGTTTTCTTTACACACAATGGAGGCCTTGCTGTTTCATGGTTCTGTAGTTCTTGGCTTTATTCTTGGCGGCGTTCACTGCTGCCTCCACCGGCAACCACCACCTTCGCCACCATGGCCACCGCAACTGCACTACCGTGGCCACAGCATCGCCCCGGCATACCGACACGAGCACCCCGCCAGCATGCACCAGCATGCACCAGCGTGCACCAGCATGCACCAGCACCCACAGCTTTGTACACCAAAATCCGCATGAACACAAACACGACCACCGCCCCCGCCAACAGCAGCAACAACAGCAACAACAACAACAACAACAACAACAACAACAACACCACAACGCAACCGCCACCGACACCGACATCAATACCATCCGCGCCAACACCAACAACACCACCCGTGGCAGTGGTGGTTGTGGTACTGGCCTTCGTGCTGATGTTCAAGCACAGAAACCTTGAGGAATTCTCTAATGCGGGATAGCAAAAAGCAAAGAAACATAGCCTCGCATACATCCGAGCGCCGCCACAGAACCAAGCATAAAACGAAACTGCCCTCATGAAATCTAACACCTGCACCCAGGCCCTGGCACCACAATAATGATACACGTCATGCCCTGATGTTACGTTTCTTTTTGGGTTTGGCTATGCTAAGATTCAGATGCAACTCCCAACAATGATCCAGGATAGTGGCATGACCGAAAACATTCACATGTTCGAAGAGCTTGCACAGCTAACGCTGACACTGAACGCCAGCACCGAGCTCATGGATGTACCTGAAATCATGATGCGCTTTTCAAGGCGCACAGATGAGGAAGGAGTTTGCCAAAGCAGTCCCTACAGTGCCTACAGCATGTGATGCTTATAAAGGACACCCAGAATCCCCATGGACAAGACTAGTTCCTAAAACCACATCAAAAACCCCTTGCAGGACAAGATCGGGTTCGGGATGCCCACGATGAAGAAGTTCCTTCGTCCCCTCGACTGGTTCCCCTTGGAGGCGAAACTTCGCCAGTACGCCCGGGCCGCGCGAAAGGACTTACCGGTAGTTAGTAGGAGGTGGATAGACGTGGAAACGACTAGCTATCTCGGGTTTCGGGTTTCAATAGGGAGTGGAATAGAGCATGGTAACTACTGCATACCAGCTAGGCTTTAGGCTTTCCGCTGGGTTACAGGGATATTTCTGCGGGATTACGCAGGGACTACTACAACGATCCCTTGTACCAACCACAAGTTAGAGGAGCTTCCAGCGCAGAAGAAGCTCGCGCCCCTGATGTTCCGGGTCCCCGGAGACTCAAGGAACTTCATTCGTGCCCGAGGAGTATCTTTGAGGTCTGTTTTTAATGGCCCTCGTCCAGCTGGACAGCCGGCCTTTCTACATCTGACCCTGACTGATTTCAATGAGGAGCGGCGGGCAACAACCACCGAGCCCTCGTTCCTGACTTGTGTAGAAGAAATTTCTAAGGCAAGGAGGGCACCTCCCGCAGCAACCCAGGAGGAAGACTCCAGACCTGTTTGAAAGCTGTTTGTAAGGGGTCCGATGGACCCACCCATCTGTGGCTCACAAAGGATGCAAGTAGGCAATACTTGAAATTTGGACTTTTTGTTTGGGACTGTGCTTAGTGCGGGAGCACTGGGTGCCTTTGAAGCAGTATCACCATCGTCTGTGCTTGAAAGCAGGATTTTGAAAGACCACTCGTGAAGGTGAGAAATTGTAGATGGCAGCAGGATTGCAAACTAAAGGACGCTTAGTAAGCAGCTTAATGGTCATGATGACTCGGATTATTCTTTGGTGTGAGGGAGACATCAGATGTTATAAGTGAGTACCTCCTGACCCTCCAAGTAGGGCTTAGAGTTTACTTGTTCGTGGTGCAGGGATTTGGAGTTTCTTGTGTCAGGAAAGTGCAGGTCAGTTGCTTGGCCTGACACCGGTAGTAGGTCATGTCGCAATTGCTAAGAACAGGGGCCCTCAGGGCCCTTTAGAGGATGTATCGGGATGGCAGAGGGATCAAATGTGTCCTCATGCGGCATTAAGAAGGGAGATTTTGAGGAACATCCATATCAAAAGACTGTAAGATCCCCAGCTAATCCATATATATATATATATGAGAAAAAACTACACGGTCAGGGGACGTGTTGCAAGCTGCCGGCATGTTTTTTCCAGGCAGCTGAAAGTTTCTCTCTTTTATGTGGGAGGGTAGCGATTAGAGATCAACTCTACACCCTGCACCCGTACTGGTAAACCTCAAACTTGACACTCTTAGTCCTGAACCCTACTAGTCCTTAACCTGAAATCCTAAACCCCAAGCATTAAAATCAGATATCTTGAGCCCAAGCCTTGTTAATTCTAAATCTTAGGCTGGCTGGGTGTGTGTGAGCTCAGAGCTTGCTTCATGTTGCTACAGCTGGACAGGGCATCCCGGTTTAGGCTTAGGATTTGGGATTTCGGGCATGGGATGCAACATAGGGTTTAGGATATACGGTTCAGGAGTGAGGGTTGGGGAATTAGAATTTAGGATTTTTACTTTAGGATTTAGGGTTGCGGGCTTAGGATCTTAGGATATAGGATTTAGGATTTTCGCCTGTAGGGTCTGGGATGATCATGGTATAGGTCGTATGGTTCCGGAACTTCGGGTTGAAGACCGGGTTAGAGACATAGACTCCAGGGTTTCCGGTGCAGTTTTTGGGGTTCAGATTTCAGATGTGGGGCTTAGAGTTTAGGGTTTGGGGGTTAGGGTTTAAGGTTTAGGGGTTTGGAGTCGAGCAGCTTTGAGAAGTTCTCAGCAATGCTCCAGAACAGCTCTGACAGGATCTCTGCTTGTGGTTTAGAACAGACACGGGGCCTTGGGGAACCCAGGTATACTTGGAGTGATAAGGGAGTATGAGGTCTTTCACCACCCCGCACCCTAAACCCTGCAGATTGGACTGAAGCCCCAAGCCTTAAAACGTGTTACAACACCAAACCTGGGGTTCCATGTTGGCAAGTGATGCTCCAAGATGGCAAATCCGCAAATCGTAAACAGGTTTCTGAGGGCCATCTATGCCTTTAGAGAGGATGGTACTTCATTTAAGGTGTAGGATTGCCCCTACTACATCAAACCCTGTACAGCCCATAAACCAATTTACCATGTGATGTTCTACTGTCTTTTCCATTTGATTCTCCGCTATTCTAATTGTTTAGGCCCCAACTCTAAGCCCAAAACCCAAAACTCTAGACCCTTATTCCATTTATTAAGGCTCCTACAGTAAACTCATGCTGGGTCTCGCGGTCCAGGGTTCTGTTTGGGTTCAGGCTCTGGAGTTTAGGCTTTAGGGTTTGGATTTAGAGCTTAGGGTTTCGGGTCTACGGCTTTAGGTTTCAAGCAATCATCTTTTGCGGCAGGACGCTGATTTGCGATCCCCCTTGTCTTCACAAGGGATCTCACGGACCTACCTTACTTTGAACACCCTGGGGCTTGGAAGTTCAGTTGAAACTTCATCCCTTGCTGCGCAACCCCCACTTAAAACTCTTCTATAGTCCTAACCTAAGATCTACATTCTTAAGCCCTGAACCCTTAACCCTACCAGGGGTCCTAAACCCTGAATCCTAAACCCTAATCACCCCAAACCTCACCCGCCCAGAACCCCAGCCCCCCAAGCCAAACAGCCCTCGAGGCGACGAAAAGGCCTTCGCAAGTCGACTCCATGACAGCTTGCGATGAAGAAGTTGCAAAACCCTGGCTCAGGGATCAGGGTTGTATTGTTCAGGGATGAGGAGGCAGAGTTGAGTGGTAACGGTTTCAAGTTCAGGGTTCACGGTTCGGGGTTGAAGTCAAGATAACCAGACCTCTGGAATCCATGTTTCTCAGATTGGCATTGACAAAAAATTGGTCAGGAATTAGTAAGACCACCCAAAAAGCCACTACCTTAGAGGGTCTGGGTAAAGGGTTTTTTGGGATTTAGGTGAATCGGTTACGGTTTAGTTTAGGCTTAGGGGCTTGCAGTTTAGGGTTTCATCTCGTGCTTAGGGCGTAGAAACACTAATGGTCACACGTTTGAGGCCTAGGGCCTGAACAGAAGGAAGGAAACAAGGGTTTGGGGGTATTACCCCTGATGTAAGTGGGGGCTATACAGGGGATAGTTATATAGGGGCATTTAGGGATAATTGAAATGAAAATGGAGGCTACTAGGGTGGTACTTATTGGGTAAATGCGCGTCTTTCTTCTTTACCCTGAACCCGAACTCCTCGCCTGAAACTGAAGAATGGGAACTCAAATGGAGACCAGAGTTATACAGTAGGATGCTAACCTATAGGGATGAACAGGGGAAGACAACGAACATGGAATTGACTATTACAGCTTCTATACGTAGCGGGGTGTAGAGTTGAGGGTTCCGGGTTTAGGCCCGGATGTAAAGTCTTAGCCCAATGTCGCTTTTGTTTCGCTCGGGATCCTGCAAGTTTCCTGGTATTCTGTGCTGTGCTCGGGTGCTGTGCTCGGCTCATCAGTTGTTAGCAACGGTTTAGTTGTGGGGGCCTGAAGAACTAGTAGGATTGTTCCCTTACTTTGGGTGAAATCGGTCTCCCCGGACATCTTCTAGCCCTGTAACCCAAACAGATGCCCCTGACTCTTCAGGCCACTATATGTAGTTCTTCTGGAAGCGCCATGCAGAGCCTAAGACTTTAAATGGCTTCAAGCAGCCCTAAAACCCAAACCTGAAGTCAGTCCCTATACTATATTTTAGGGTTAGATAGGGGGTATCTAGGGGTTATATACAGAGACTTTATAGGGTTCTAGGAGGTATGGCTAGCTGCATGAGATCTGTACCAGACAGATCTTGCGGGCCTCGAGCGCTGTTGTTCTTGCTCTGCTCTTCTCTTTTCCTTTTGCGGCTCAGGTTGCAGAGGATTTAGGTTTAGGGTTGCAGAGTATTTGGGGGCTCGTGGGTTTCCGGTTGTCTTGTCTGCTAAGGAAGTAGGGTTTGGGCCGGTTTGGAGGTTAGGGTTCATTCAGTCTAGGGTTAGGACCCAGGGTTGAATGCTAAGGGCAGGACCCTGTAGGAGTCATACCAGAGTCATAAGGGTCCTGATCTTGACCAAACCACCCCATTATTCAAAGAGATTTTGTCTGAAAGGTTGTAAGCATCAGCCCTTTCTATGTGTACCTTTCGTGATTATTTGTTTCGCTTACACTACGGACCCTGAAGTCCACAAACATACGACCCTAAACCCCTAACCCTAACCCCTAAAGCCTATAACGCCCAAAAGGGCACTTGTTGGAGAGGGCCCCGACCACCCTACACCCTTACCTTGGACCCTTAAACATGAAACGCAGCATAGGTTGCTAGCAGGCTTGAAGCTGCCCAAAGCTAGCTATATATAAGGGTTATATAGGGATAATGGAAAATCAAATGGAAACTACTATAATGGAAAATAGTGGAAAATAAAATAGAAACTACTATAGTATATTGGGGATATATTCAAGCTACAAGGAGAGGAGGTTGCCTAGGGTGTGGGTTTCAGGCTTCAAAATCTAGGGCTCCTTAACCCCAAACCTCTAGATCTTGGGCCTATAGGATCTGGAACAATCTCGCAGTAATAGTGGAATGTGGCACTCTCAAGATTGCGTAGTCGCATGCCGGAAAGTAGCTTCGAATGGTACGCTGCCACAAAGCCACAAAAGTATACTACACCCTGTCCACGCCCTGCGGTGTGAGGTGACTTGTAAGTAGGCCTAGCCTCCGTCGTATATCCGCAGCCTGAAATTCAGCTCATTTGCGCTATCTTCTGATATTTCAGTCAATTTTAGTCTTAGCTTAATTTTGCCTGCATCCCCCCTACTCCATGATAAGCTCGTTCCTGAAATCATGCCATCGTCGGGCCGATTCTGAAGCTTCGAGATTTTGATATTCAGGGGAGGGGATTCATTGGATGAATGCCTGATGATGGCTACCAACAAAGCCTCATGAAACTTCATGTGAGCTACCCCATGGCAAGCTCTAGGCCCTACAAAGCATAAGATATGAACTGCCCGGAGCTCTGAACCATACAGAAGCCAGCTAAATCCAAACCCAGAACCCAAAGCCCTTAGCCCAAAAAAAGACCCTAGAACCCTAAAACCCTAGACCTAACCCCTAGACCCTACACCCTAATCCTCAAACCTAGACCCTGGCTAGACCCCAAGACTCCTGGACCCCACTCACTACTTCCTGAGAAGCTCCCTCCATGGGCATCTCTCCACCCCAAAGCCCTAAAAGGTTAAGGGGGTTTCGGGCCAATAGGTGTTTAGGATTTCGGGTGTAGGATTGAGGGTTTTAGCTTGTCCCTTGATGCTGCGCAGCCGGCTCAACGATTGTGGCTTTTGAAGTACCACCATCACGACTACGACTACTGCACCTGCAGCTGCTTCTGCTCTTGCTACTACCGCTGCTGCTATCGCTGCTGCTATCGCTGCTGCTATCGCTGCTGCTATCGTTGCTGCTACCGCTGCTGCGACGGCGTCGGTTGCGGTCGCGGTCGA